GATGGGTCCGAATTTGGAACCGAACTCTCGTTTGAATTCTGTCCAGTCTTCGAGACAAGTGTACTCCCCCCTCAGTCGTTGCCGATTCAACGTGTCGAAGTGAGAGAGTGCTGCACCAGTGAGATGACTAGCTGCGGAAGCGCACTTGTCCTTTTCCCGGGCATAGATGGTAGGTCGTACTCCAAACATCCTTTCCAAACTGAGGACCCACGTCTTCCATGCCGACCGGTCGTCACCTGCGAAGCTTTCGATCTTACCGACGTCGAGCTTCGACTCAATGGTAATCCGATTTTTTTCTTCGTTGCTCTCCCACGTACTTCGTCCCTCGTTGGGAGGTCTAGGAGCTGCCTTACGGTGCCAACCTTGTCTTGGATCGTAGTACCAGGGTTGGTCCGGGTCATAGCGTGTTGGAGGTACGTCAGGAGCTCCAGTGGGGAGCTCTCCTCTGTCCTCCTCTCTCCTTCCACCATTCCTACTCGATTGGTTCTGTTCCCCCTCGTTGGAACCTTCCGAATTACTATCACCCGGTCCCCCGGAAGGTGGTGGAGGAGGAGGAGGCGGAGGTGGTGCCCCTCCCCCGCTCCTTCCTCCCTGTTCTCTTTGACCCTGTCCCCCTTGACTCAGAGGTCGTTCTCGATCTCTCGATTGACTAGAAAAATGTGGGGGAGGTACTCTAGGAGGGGGGTTAAAACCGCCTTTGCCTCCTCCCTCGTTTTCCAACGCGTACGCTCCTCCTTCTGGTCTCCCATACTCCCCTAGCTCAGCTCTTTGCACTCGGGCTCCCCACTCGTGAATACGTCGTCGGTCCACACTCGGAGTATCCGGGATCTGTCCTGCTTGTTCTACCTGGGGGTTTCCATCCCTAGCTCCTGTAGGAGTGTTTCGGTTAAAGGATATTGGTTCCATAGCTTGCCAGCTCCTTGGCTGGGGAACTACAGGAGAAGGACCCCCCCTCGTATATTCTCTCATTACCCTAGGTGCTCGCCCGGATAATCCCGCCGTGTTTCCGGTTTTGGAAAGGGGTCCTCCCGTCGGTACTTCCCCCGCTGTGAATCCTTTCTTTACCTCACGGAGTTGTTCCTGGAGCGTCTCAATGACCCGAGCCTGTTGTTGGATCATTGCTACCGATTCCTGAGAGCGTGCCGACTCGAAAGCCATGCCAGGTCGGTTCATCTGAGTTCCCGTTACAAAGGGAGTTCCAAAAGGAGCTCCCTGCGGGGGTACCGCCTCTTCGTGAACTGCCAACGTTCTTCGTTGGTTCGGGCCCCTGTGACTTTCCGTTCCCACTGCCTGAGATTGCATTGATACCGACCCTTGATACGGAATGACTGATGGATTGCTCAGTCTTGGAGGAACGTGTACAGGGTTGGGAGCCAACCGAGCTGTCAGATCTTGTCCGGAGATCCGGGATGAATGTTGTGCGCCATCCATCCTCACCTCACCAAACTGGTATCGCTGCGTCGAGACTGGGGTTAAAGGTTTCGTTTGCAGGTTAACTCTGGGGGGAGGAGTCGCATTTTGAGCCAAGGCATGTACATTGGGGGAGGTCCCAGAGCGTAACTGGGGGCTCCTCGTGGCCGTGTTACCGGGGTTAAGGAGTTCAGGAACCTCGGTATTCCTGGGCGATGAATGTTTCTGTGCCAGGAAACGACCATCAGATCCATGGAGCTCCCCTTTCTGGTCAAATTGCTCCGGAGGGAACTCCCCTACGCTTTCGAGTTCGCATTGAACCATATACGAGGTTCCCCGATTATCCGCGACCAGTCTGCGACGGAACTCCAAAGCTCTTTCTAGATTCGATCCAGAAAGTTCCTCCGACAGCATCAGAGTGTCTGATTCCGCTAGTAGCGTCCGATGTCGGGTCTCCTGCGAACACAACATCGCTTCAGACTCCTCACTCCTCACCAGAAGCTGGTGCATATGCCTCATGGGCGTGTACGTGTATACCGTCTGTCCGTTACGGACCCGGACGGGACTATCCTGATCAGGCATTGACTCCACTGGGGCCAGGAGGTGAGCCGTGGTGTATCTCCTGCGTCTACGATTTTTTGCAGCAATTGCGTTAGCATCCTCGTTACTTTCCTCATCGATTTTAGCTGCTGCTTCCGCTAGGTTTGCGTTCCGAAGTATTTGGATCGCCTGGTAGTTCGGTATGTTAACCCTCGAAGGGGGAGGTTCAAACCGTACAGCTCCTGATCTGTAGTTAGAGGCTCGGTACAATATACGTAGCCCTGCTTCGCCACAGAATTCCTTCTCCCTTCCATGGGTATGAGGGAGGAGGGGAAGTATTCCCCTCGAGTTTCGGAACGATCGTCCGTAACGTGCCTCTGCCTCTAACAGTTCCAACATCCTCTCTGGGTCCAACAGGACGTTGTACAGCCAGAGAAAATCTGATCGATTCGCGGGGGTCATCAGCCACTGCTGGGCCTTCTCTGGGAGGTCTATCTCCAATTGAGTTCCTACTGTTAGGAACTGTACTCGTAGGTCTGAGAATTCGAGACCGTCTCCCAATACTTCGATCCCCATTGACTCCAATACCTCCCTTAGGACCATAGCTACATCTTCCGGGATACACTCCTGAATTCGAATGACGTCTTCCAGACGCAATGTCATTTCGGACAAGGGTTGTACGGGGAAGTTGGTCCTACTATGGTGTATTGCGTGTGTACGCTCCCAGTTGGGCGTATTCATAGCTGGGCTCTTCAGGAGACTGGAGAGTGAACTTCCTCGTCTCGGGGGAGGAAGGTTAAGGGACTGTACTGGAGGTGTTGGTAACCTCCGGGATGACGCCCGAGATTGTTCGGATACGGCAGGGGATACCCTCCTCTCTGGAAGTTTCTCCTGTTGTCGTACTGTGAGAGGGTCGGTACTTCCCCCTTGTATCCTTTCGATAGCGGCTACTTGACCGCTGACTCTTCCACCCGCGTTCGAAGCTGACTCCATGTCTAGCTGCGGTATCGGTCCAGGGGGAGGTCCTCTCGTTCCCCAGGTAGGGGAGTATGCGAAACCTCCCATGGGACTACTGGCAGGTTGGGCGTAACCCATGGAGGTAAACCTCCGTTGTGGTGGTCCCATCCCAGGTTCCACTGGAGGGGGCCCCTGAACCTCCGGTTGACGTCCCTCTGGGGTCCGGATGTTACTGGCGGTTTCATCCCCGAACGACTGTTCTGGGATGGACATCAGGCGTTGACCAGCTGCCACCGTGATGACAGTGGAGCTAGCAGCCTGGTTCGATTTTTGAGCTTGTGTCGTGTTTCCACGAGATAAGGCGCTCTTTTGTTTCTTCGATTCGGTTTTGGAACTAGAAGGTCGTTCCGTTGACGTCGCCGACATTTCGTCGCGACGAGTCCGTTCGGTGACGGGAGAGCTTGGTATAATGTAAGACCTGGGTCAAAATAGGTCTTAGGGTAGGTTTTGGTATGTGGAGGTTTATGTTGTAGCGTGCTAGGAGCAGGCTGGAGCTCGAAGGGAGCTACGAGAACCGCGACCGAGGACGGGAATGACCTAGTAGTGGTTGGAACGACGAGATGGTGACCCTTGAGGGGTTCCTAGGAGGTCCAGGGAGGTCCCTAATGCGTAGGGAGGTTCGGGACGAGTGCGGGACCGTAAGATATTGCGTAGTAGGAGTTGTACTCGCTAGAACGTCAATATAGAGTCGAGTAGGTAGTTTATGCAATGGGGTCTCGAGGGTGTAAGCTCCCGAGAAGGGATATGCCAGGGAGGGTAGGTCCCTGGGGGCTAGGTTGGAGGATGGTCGTCCTCGAGTGTGGGAGGTGGTAACGGAGAAGCAGTACGTAGTTCGACGTGAGGGGTAGCTTCGACGTTACCTAGATCGAGGTCCCGAAGCTTACGAAGTAGCTAGGGAGCTCTGGGAGGTTTGGGGAAGAGTAGCTCACCAAGCGGGTAGGCGTTGGGGAGCTTTAGTAATGTTCGAGGGAGCTCGGGGACTCACTCGGAAGGCTTAGACTTGAAGTAAAAGCGTATATTCGATCGTACCGACGATCAGAGAGACAATAGACAGAAGTAGAGAGAAACAGAGGTAGAGAAACAGAGAGGAAAGAGAAATCCGTATGGTTAGCAGGTACAAAGGGACAGGGACTGGACCTATGCAAAAGGGTGTGTGTTCAAAATATACCAAGCTGGGGCTTGGGGACGTTACGGAGCTACTTAAATAGGTATGGGAAGTGAACAAGGGAACATCAGGGACCATGAGGCATGTAATCGAGATTAGTACCTTAATGGGGTAGGTGTAGGAGGGCTTCTTACGCGTGTCGGGGGAGGTTTTAGGGGTTACTTGTGTCGAGGGATCTGAAGATGGTAACTGGTATGTTTTTGGGGAGGTACGGAGGTGGTTCTGTGCGGGTTGTGAGAGCGTATGGCTGATACTGGGGCTGTCCTGGTAGTCACCAGGCGTGAAGACGGGAGAAAGGGAGCTGTGGTTAACGGTCGAGGCATGACAGCAATGAGAAGGCAATACAGAGAAGAAAGAGCAGAGTTTACCTTATACACGTGTACGTGCAAGTGGTGGAAGACAACAAAGAGTACACCGAAGAAGATTCAATTTGTAATATTATCACATGTAATGTTAAGGGCCGGCTAGTATATGATACAGTCTAATCGCCCTTTACTCCGAAGGAAACTTAGTTCGGTGTGCAGGCATTAGTCTTGAACCACACAGAATAATAGACAGATATATGTGTTGAGTTGTAGTGACAGAACGGGGCACATCAAACAGTTGTATCATTCGAGAATAGCGCAGAACACGAATGTACATAGTGATAAATCTGATAGGCCGAGAATTTTATAAAATGGGTGTTACAGAAAACATAAAAGCACTACATTCAACTAGCTAAATGCGAGGATCATATTGTTGGTTCAAGGTGATAGGGTGTAAGCATGCTTTGCTAGAAAATGCTGACAAAATTGAAAACACGCCAAGTCTAGTTTAAAGAAAGCGAACCTGCGAAACCAATTCCATAGGACCCACTGGTCACCCACGTCTATGTCACGGAGGTGGCCTTCACTATCAATTGCGATCCCAAAAGCATGGGTGATGGAATAACAGGTGTCCGTAGAGCGGGTACAGGTTGAAGCATTGTTGCACGGACTGATGGCGTACGGTGGACCTTGATGCATCGAGAGCATGATGATTTCAGTATTGCGGCCCACCTCATCAACAGCAAGACAAGCAAGCATTGGAGCAACGGCACCCGCAGGCTGGTATGCACTTTGCTGAATCGCAATCAGGAATGAAGAGATCCAAGGCCGAGGGTGGCGCGCAACTTGCGGAGAGAGCTCGAACGATAGAGGTTGGCGGAGTGGGAAGGGAAAGTCAGGGTGTACGTAGTAAAAATATACGGTTCTGCGATTAGCCTTGGATGTATTAGACAAGTTAAAGGATAGAGAAAAGTGAAAAGCGCACAGTATCAGGAAGAGAAGGCGCATGTCGCAAAGTAGACAGAGTATCCAGGGAAGGGAACGCAGCCATAGTTTTAGAGGAGACGGGTTGGGAGGAAGATAACAAAAACACTGGAAATAAAAGGACCTCAAAGAAGTGAGCGTTGGATGAACGAATGGAGCTCAGTCGTAATCCTACCATATTCGATAAAATGAGAAACGAAGAGAAGCAACTTAAGGTTTGACGTTTGACGCAGCCATGCAATCAATCACGCGATTAATGGATAACAGAGTGCTCATTGAAATTATACTAGAAAATAACACAAGCAGCACAGCTACTGTCATGCCTCGCCCCAAATTCCATATCCCATAAGCTCCTTGACGTAGTTCCCAACCTCCTCAGCCCCCCTTACCTCCTCAACCACTTCTGAACCCCTGAGAACACCCCCAACGCCGCAAACCTCCTCACGGCCAGGACAACCTCCACTAATCTTAGTTCCCCTCAATGCAACCGAACCACTCCACGACAGGGTCCTGGAACCCCGCACATGCGCCCATCATTCCGTCCTCCTGTCCGTCCTGATGTACTTAGAAACCCCATTAAGTGCCCGTTTCGTACTATGTCTCTTTGTTAACTTCCCTATACGTATTTAAGCAGTCCAGTAGCGTCCAGAAGCCCAGCTTGGTATATTTTGAACACACACCCTTTACATAGGTCCAGTCCCTGTCCCTTTGTACCTGCTACCTATACGGAATTCTCTCTACTCTCTGTCTCTCTACTTCTGTTTCTCTCTACTACTGTCTATCGTCTCTCTGATCGTCTATACGATCGAATATACGCTTTTACTTCAAGTCTAAGCCTTCCGAGTGAGTCTCCGAGCTCCCCAACGCCTACCCGCTTGGTGAGCTACCCTTCCCCAAACCTCCCAGAGCTCCCTAGCTACTTCGTAAGCTTCGGGACCTCAGTCTAGGTAACGTCGAAGCTACCCCTCACGTCGAACTACGTATTGCTTCTCCGTTACCACCTCCCACACTCGAGGACGACCATCCTCAACCCCAGCCCCCAGGGACCTACCCTCCCTGGCGTATCCCTTCTCGGGAGCTTACACCCTCGAGCCCCAGTTGCATAAACTACCTACTCGATCCTATATTGACGTTCTAGCGAGTACAACTCCTACTACGCAATATCGTACGGTCCCGCACTCTTCCTGAACCTCCCTACGCATTAGGGACCTCCCTGGACCTCCTAGGAACCCCACAAGGGTCACCATCTCGTCGTTCCAACCACTACTAGGTCATTCCCGTCCTCGGTCGCGGTTCTCGTAGCTCCCTTCGAGCTCCAGCCTGCTCCTAGCACGCTACAACATAAACCTTCGCATACCAAAACCTACCCTAAGACCCATTTTGACCCAGGTCTTACAGCTACAATATAGGATAAAACAATGATTAATTGCATATATAATTGTAGAGACTTACCAAGAAATAAGTACGAATGGCAATATATGAAATAATGAGAGTTATTTGAGATGGGGCTTGAGACTAAAAGGGTAATATTGAGCAGTAGATCAAAGGTGAAAGATTCTCAGAAGACAAAGCACTAACGCTGAGAATTGACGCATCATCACTTCTTCATCAGATTGAGAGATAGAGCGAGGAACACCGGAGGAGGTGAATGCAAAAACAGCAACGTGGTGAATACAGATGCAATTATCGGTGGAACCGGGACGAAAAGTTGTGCGAAGAGAAGTCGGTGCAGCAGAATAATGTTTGAGGAAGAGTAGGAGAAGCTCATTGTTAGGAGCATATTTGTGGACGTGGCGAAAGAAGACGAAGCTGCCATTAGGCAGATGAGTCTCAGAGAAGACTTGCTCGAAGTACTTGTGACCAGTGATTCCATTGGCAGTGGGCAAGGACTGTTTGACAGCAAGAGGTTGCTTCAGGGGCCTCGTGGAGGAAGGGTGAATATAATAGAAGTGCAGGATACGTTCATCTGCCTGTTTATATACAGAACAATTTTCAGTAATCAAAAGGCGAAAATATTTCAAGGGAACGCACTTTGACTTCAGGCGGATTTTTTTGCAAATATCTAAGTGCGCGGATAGACATCATGGTGACCAGAAAGGTGGAAGGGCAACAAAGAAGCAGTTGGAAGAGAAGCATTATATACACAAGGGAGCCGCAGCCCGCATTGTGCACAAGAAGGCCACCGAAGTTCGCCAAGTTGTCCAAGGCAATGTCACGGAGATTGAGAGCAACTAAAAGCACCCAGGAAGCTCACCGAAGGATGCTAGACTGTCCAAGGCAACGTCGTGGAGATTGACAGCAAGTAACAAGCCTGGCCTGTGGAGGGGCTTGGCTTGTAGGTGCAGAGAAAGGAAACAGAAACAGCTTTGAATTGGCGCCGGTGAAATTTTACTCAATTAGTAATCAAACTGAAAACAGGTGGGTTGACGCAAATGAATGGCATATTGCAAGGTAGGAGCACACGGCACAGAAGCTACTAATACTGTATGATCTACCGACACTAGGGCTGACAAGATAATGATAATAAAGCTAGACTACCTCCCTTTACGGTTTGATTTCGACATCATTACATCTTCATGATATTCGAAGCCTCCCTTGAGGCCACCTCCATTGAGATAAGGGCTGTCATTGTCGGAATCAACATTTCCATCGCGAGGAATACGTGAAGACCCTGCCACATTGTCTGAAGGCGGCTTTGAAAGAGAAGATTTGCGACGAGGAGGGCCCGGGAAATCTTTGGTGCGAGTCGGAGTATTGTATATTGGTTTGGGAAAAGGACGCGAGGAGACGGATTTGGGAGGAGCTGGCCCATCATAGCCGGGTGGAAGGGCGAGGACTACGACAAATTGTAGACCAAGAGAAAGAGAAAGGGGAGGTGCCTTGTATGACCCAGAAGACTGCCACGTATGAGCAGTATACCCTATGCAAACGATACAGCCAATGGGAATATCTTCTTCCGAGTTTTTGTAGAGAGGATAGGTACGAGAGCCGATTTGATTTAACTGCGCAGGCAAAGCGACAAAAGAGTCCCTTCCATCAAAGATCGGGACTGTGATAAAATTCAATACAACAAAATAGTGAAAGCGGGAGCAGAACGAACCTGCACGAGAAAAGGGTAAAGGATTTTTGCAATGAATATTCTTCGGTACATTGGAGATATCGCGCTTTTTACCAGGGGTCACTAGAGAATAGAAAAGTACATGAAAGGGACTGATGATGATAATAGGCAAAGACTGACCAGGCTCTAGAGGACTGAGATTATCAGGATCATCCTTCCATGCATCCAAGTCGAAACGTTGGTTAGAACGGAAATCGATGATACCCTCAGAGACAGGGCACCCAAATTTTGAAGAACCAATAAGGCTTCCGAAACAAGCAAATAGTCGCTGTGATTCTTGCATAAGACCATGAACACGTAAGCCTTGAATGTATCGGACAGCTTTATCTTTAACAAGAAAGGATTTGGGACAAAATATGTATGATTCGGCCACACGGCCGACTGTGAGGAAGACAGCATTGAAGAAACGATCTTTGGCAAGGATCAGGTGAATTTTGTTGTTGATTGTAGGACAAGTAATTGCACAGGGAGGAGTTGGATCGAAACGAGCGCCATTGAATATGTTGGCAGATCGAACGAAATTCACAGTTTGGCGGATACATCTGGATGAACATTAGAATCAGCTCAGATATGAATACATAATCAAAAGCTGACTTTTCCTGACTAGCGGTAATTCCTGATACCATATCACGGTAGAGAAGATAATCATCATCATCAGTTATGCTTTCATCAGCTACGGGCCTAATTGTGACGGCACTGTGACGAAACAGAAAACATTAGCAAAACACGAGTGAAGGATCGAGAGAAAGACTAACGGGAGGTTAACCACAGATCTAAATGAGGCGGCAAAACGAGGATCAATCCACTCTGCATTGAGGACACCATTTTCGCCCAGATTATTGTCAATGTAAGGAGCGACATCCTGAGGCCCACGATATTGTTCCTCAACATCAGACGAATCTACCAAGTCCATGGGAGCGTCCTTGCTGAGGGCTTCATATATAAGTTCTTTGCGTGACTTGCGAAGAGGAGATGAAGAGGCCTTCTTATCAACTTCAATAGGAAGAGTCGAAGGAGGGAACGAAGCATCTGTGAGTGCACGATGGATAATGTCATCGCGATAATTCTTCCCTGCAGCAGAGGGTTTTGAAAGGGACTTCACCGGTGTGGTTCCCATAACAAGAGTGGTAGGAGCAGTTCGTTTAGAATGGGAGAAAGGATGGAACCGAAGATCTTTCCCTTTGAGTCTTGAAGATGGAGACCCAGAGGCAGAAGTTTTAGATGGCGACGTATTCACCGTAGATGTGTCAGAATTAGAATGACTTGGCGACGATATGAGAGAACGAGGAGGAGATGGTGAAGTCCCATAGGGTATCATCAGAGGGGGCATGCCCCGCTCTGATTTTGATGGGAAGATTTTGGATTTAGATGGCAAAGTGGTAGGAAGAACAGGACCCGTGCGGGACTCCAAAGTGGACGAGGATCGAGGAGTAGGAATCCATCCTTCTAACGGATTGGAAGGTAAATCAGGCGAGGGAGTCCGTAAGGCATGAATTGAATGAAAATTCGCAGGGAGGTCAATGTCCATGTTGTCATAGTCCTCAATTGAAAGGCTATGGGATGAGGGTGGAGCAGGTATAGGGGACATTGCGTTTTTGGGTGACTCGGGTGGATAACATAAGTCAAAAGAATCATCATCCACCTGAGGAGATGGAGGAGAAGAAGGGAAGTCCATTTGGGAGGAGACAACATCTGCGACCACCGAACGCACAGGAGTGCCACCGTGCAGAGAAGATGAAGGTGACGAGACTAGATTTATGAAGTTGGGATCATCAGAAGCATAATATGTTCGCCCATTCACGACGATTGATGTAAGATTTTTCGGAGGGGAAAGGGACATTGAAGCCAAGCTGTCGGAATGGGAAACGGTAGAGCTACAGATAATGTCAATATAATGTGACTGGGAAAAAAAAGGGAAACGCACAGCGACCGTTTCAAAGGCATCTTGGAGCTACGCAACAAGAAAGGCTTAAGAGGCTCCTTAGGCTTACTCAGAGAAGGAGGGAGGACGGGATATTCATCATCGCTCAGCTCAATCGGGCTGAAATTTTTCGTTACTGGATACAGAAGATAACAAAAGATAACAACAGACCTATACAATTTTGGTGAGGAGGGGTGTTTTTCCTCCGGAGTACCCTGACGAACACGATTGGAGTAAAGCTCTTCTGGTACAGGCAATGCTGAGTCTCTGAATAAACAACCCATGAGAACATAAGCAAATGATAAAAGAAAAATGATGAACGTACTTGAAAGCCTTCTCAGGAAGAGTGACTTCCATATCATCGGCAGATTCATCCTGGGATTGACTTCAAATATTAGAATGAGTACAGACTCTACTTGATATATATATCAACACATACGAAGCATAGACGCGAGGACTTGGCGACCGTTCGATGTCAACCTGGACACGGGGAGGACTTGCAGACCATTCGATGGAAGAGCCATCACCGATGTCATCCGCAACAATGACGGAGTCCAACTCATGCTTGTTCACATCCGCATTGGTCTCCTCAAGACGATCACCGCAGCTATCAGTGTCAGAGGCGGCAGCCTCTACATCCAGGAATTTGCCCACAGAGTGGGGAATGTTGACAGGACCAGAACATTCGGGAGGGACCCTAGCAGTGCGCGGAAGAGAAGGCCTGTAGACAATGAGGTACAGGGACCTTGAAAGATAGACAAAACTTACAGTAATTCAGAGCCCAATAAACGATTGGTGGGTTTGTGGGAGCGGTTTGATTTGCGAGACCTGGACGGGAATGAAATTCAAGAGGTATCAGACAAAAGGAAGTCAACGGACATTTTATTTGACAACAAAGTGGCGGACTAGGCACAAATATGAATGTTGGGAGAGTGTACTTCAGATAGAGCAATGAGAAGACAAAGGGAAATCGACAGACTTTTTTTTGGAGTGCAGAGTAGAGGACTATGAACGTTGAGAGTGTGTACTTCAGATAGAGCAACGAGAAGACGAAGAAAATATTTGAGAGAGTTGAGGGCAAATAAAGGCAGGATATATGATTAGTAAGGGATCAGCGCTTCAGTGATAAAAATTGGATCATGCGGGCGATGAAAAAAATCGAAGCAGAGGGGAAGGACAACGCGGAAAGAAGAAGTGTAGCGAGGAGCAGTATGGGAAGCATGGTACACATACAAGGCCGGACAGATGATTGTACTAGAAGGGTGAAACAACTACTAAGTAAAGGCAGCTGAAAATTGTGAAACGAGAAATCGGTTGAAGGTGGAAACAACAGAGCACAAATATAGGATGAGAAAAGTAGCACATTAGCAATTAACCCCGTTCGCTTTCAACCGAAGTACGAATTGTGAAATGGATCAAAGCTACAACAGCAAAGATGCTGGTGAGTGAGAAAACAGTTCGGCATGGATGAAGATGACTTACAATGTGAAGCAGCTGAGGCGTTAAATAAAATAAGAACGATATGTCTGGGAAACGAAATCCGGCCCCATATTAGTTGCTTCCTTGAGGTAGTTTGAATAATTACTTACCGAGATGAGCAAATGTTACTGACATGAAATTTATAGAGAAAAGGATGGGAGGACAGCGTAGAGATACGCAAGTTTGAGGAACCTAGCTGTTGGCAAATGACCCAGAGTGACGCGAATGGAATCTTCGAGGTAATATTGCATATGCAAGGAGTACTGGAGGATAAGAGACTTCCGCCTATTCGCGGTGAACTGTGAGTCATACAATTGGAGTAACAGAGGATTGACTTACCAGTATCGCCCAGCACAAAGAAGAGACTGCAACACCTACGACAATCCATCACCGTGAGTGGATTGGGGGTCAAAAACTTCGCAAAGGATGTAGACTCCGTGTATGACATGTACGCCCTCTTTTCGCGGCACGTACCCGGCCTGAAGATAATGGCGACGAAGGGGACGGCGGAACGGCCAATGCTGGAGATGTCGAACAGGATATTCACTCCAAAGGTAGAGGCCCCGAATATGAACCCAGCCACGGTGAATCCGGAGATGGATGAGAATGGTTTCATTGAGAGGATAAATGCGACAAATGGAATGTTTGTATACGGAGAGGAGAACATAGTACTCTATGGAGAAGAGAGGATGGATGCTACTGGACGCAAAAAGTGGGTAACGTTAGCATCACACAAAAAGACTGGTAAAACTAAACTCACCGTTTTCAAAGAACCGTCCGCATTCCACCTCAGAGACTGCACGTGGGTGATATTGTAGACATTGCATTCAGTATGGTCGCATTTGGAAGAGGAAGTGAGTTGAAGGCAAGATTATTGCTTCGCAATATTACACTTTTGGACGCAACTCATACGCAAGTGAGTAAACATGAAGGATTGATAGAAGGAAACGACTGACTTTGCATAGAAATGGCTGAAGGAAAAAGTCAAAGCACAGTCCTTGAATATCAGAATGCAGCCGACCCTCAAGCGACGTCTCGAGTTCGAAGACAACGAAGAAAATACCGGAAAGCGAATGAAGGGAATGGATATCGAAAACAACGAAAATGAGATGGAAGACGACAAAGAGGATGCCAGGTTGCGAATGAGGGGAATGGATATCGAAAACGACGAGAATAGTAATGAAAGGGAAGGAATGTGTGACTAGTAATGTGTGTTGACAGTCGTATGGAAGGCGTAAGCGAGGCATCACATTTGAAGCGAAGAAGTAGAGTGCCACGTAGGATGAGCCGTCACTTAGTCACGGTGGTGCTGATTAAGGTCTCGTGCAAGTCACATTAATTCAATTCAATTCAACTCACTGTTACATTTCGCCAAATAAGGCGAAACTACTGCCATAAAAGGAAAATTTTTTTGTATGGAGTACCGTACATAAGGACGATACTTCCGTAAACTACAGCCTCGTAATGTAAAGGTCAACTTCAAGTACTGTATGTCCTTGGTATATCCTATACTTTGTCAATATTCACGATGGGTCGATAAGGTGACACAAGCCGTAACGATCGCAATTTTGGGGTGAATGCGTAGCGGTCCGTCTGTTATCGCCTGTCAGCTAGTGCAAAACCTTGTTGAGAATGTGAGAAAAGACACGAAAAGAATGGGTCAACGAAAGGGATGTTGAATCTGTAGCAGCTATTGTATACAATCCGAATACTGCTGAATAGCTGTCAATGAGAACAATTTCAATCATAGCATCTTCTTAAGCTTTGTATGAGACCCCGGAAACTGAGCAAGTCAAGGGAAAAATGATTTCGGTCTCCCGTCTTATATAGCCCTCTACCTGGGCGCCGATGTTCTCTATTCTTTGAGGACCACCCCCTTCCACCAAGTATGAACATCGTCCTCTTCGGATCCACTGGGTGCGGTAAAAGTTCCATCATCAATATGCTACTTGGCCACGACGCCGCTCCTACGTCTAGTGGTGCAGTTGGGTGTACCTTTGAAAACAGCGTATATGTCACTCGAATGGAAGAAAAGGAATACCGAATCTATGACACCACTGGCCTCGATGAGGGTGATGCTGGCACTGTTGTATCAAAAGACGCTCTTGTTAAGCTTTATAAGCTTCTGCGCAACTTGGAGGATGGTATCACTCTTCTCGTATATTGCATGCGGGGTCCAAGGATCACGGAGGCCTTGCAGCGAAATTACATCGTCTTCTATGATGGTTTCTGCCAAAAAAAAGTCCCTATCGTCCTCGCAGTGACAGCACTCGAAGACCAGGAGCCAGATATGGAATCTTGGTGGACCGAGAATAAAGATGCGTTCCAAAAATACGGTATGGAGTTCAGCGGCCACGCTTGTATTACCGCAACCCGTGGAAAAAAATTGAAGAATGGAGAGTTCAGGAATCAGGCAGAATATAGTGAATCGCAAGTGGTCATGCGAGATCTCATAGTCAAGCATTGCCAGGGAGTAGAGCCTTGGAAACTTGTAGGTTTCTAAGACTTTCTTGGATTCTGGAAGATTGGTCGCTAATTTTTACTTTTTTACTAGCCAACTAGAACTTGGTTCATATCCATAGTGAATTGGATCTGGCGCTATTTTTTCAACTGGACAGCGAGTCTCGATATTATGAGCAGCTTGTACGAGGTCTTGAGGAAATTCCTTCCTGAAAAGGATGCAAGAGATATCGCTGACGAGGTGGATTCACTATGAATACCTTTTTTACTCTTCAAATTGAAAGGGGTTATTTTTTGAATCAATTTTGTAATGATGCTCGTCGTTGACCAATGAAACGTATGCCAATCACGATGACAGCAACAAATGTCCTTTCGACGAAGATCATGCGATAGCGAAGTAGAAACAACAAGAAACGCCCCTTTTCTCTCTTACGTAGCCCTCCTCAGTTCTGCATCCCCCTACACTTACAATCAAATATTTCTTTCTCATCCTCGTACCACACCAACTGTAACATCTGCTTTTACCATCTCACCTCTCACTCCTACCTTTGGACCTCCATTGCCATAACCATTTTTCACATCACCACCCACATCTTCAGTTAAATCGATACTTCTACCGACGCCCCCCGTCAACGCCCCAACACACTTCTCCCAAGCCCACCTCGTGAGCTTCAACACGTCCTCGTCAGATAAATCCCTGCGAACGTGAAGCTCGAGCGTTACGACGAGATGTTCTGGAGTAGATGACGTTGTAGTGAAAGACTTTGCGTTGTACGTATTGCCAGATGATCTTGATAAGACCGCCGGCGTTGGAGTGAATTGCCATATATGTGGGGCAGGGAGGTGGAGGACTTGAGGGTGGCGTTCGACCTATGTTCGAAATTAGGGGGAAAAATCAGTCAGCGATACTTCGATATTATGAAGAAAGCTGAAAAACATACATCTTTCATAGCTCGCAAAAATGCCTCCATGCGTCCTACTCTTCCTACTCCTCCGATTCTTCCTATTCTACCGGCTTTCTCACCTTCCGTTATTCTCCTCGGTGCAGTCTGCAACAGCACAGTCCCCAGTACAACAGAGGAACTATATGACACGCGGAACGTGACAAATGTAATGATACCTGCTAGGAAGAGGTCGAATGTGCGGTGATGGGAGCTATGAGTGAAAAATAAAGAGGCAAGGGTCAGAAGGGAATTCCAGAAAAAGAACGATTAGACAGAAACGATATTGAATGTGTATCATAGTAGTAGAAATGGTGACATATGTGAACTCACACATCCAGACCAATCCCGCCCCACCAAATAGCTACACACATCCCCAACGGGAACACCACGTATGGGTTTGAGATGATTATTCCAAGTAGGGAAGAAGGCGGAGGGTCTTCGTTCGCTCTTGTTGGCCGTCGTTGATGTGATAAAGATGATAAGGGAGAAAGGACGGAAGAGGTGAAGGAGCGGACAAGGGTGGATATTGAGGGGATACGGTTCCCGGTGACTGGAGATGGGACATATCAGACAAGAACATCAAATAGATGGGGGAGGGGGGGATTACAGAGATGGAGGAAATATGATGACAGGGAAATGTTGGAAATGAAGGGAAGGACTCACTCTCGACCAATTTTTTATGATTATCGAACATCATCGCTGACATGGTGATGGTAACGAAGGATATAGAGGCAAGGATGTAGGGGAATTGAATCCTGTTTTGATGCATGGTTAGTTTAACAATGCTGAGATGGACAAAGAAAAAGGTAGGGGAGAAAGAAGACACGGAAGTAGGATTACCATGGCCAATCAGCTTTTCGACAGACAGTGGTCCCACCATCGAGACGGTCGGTCAGGATGAACGAAAAAAACAAGGAGGTAAATGAGCGAGCAGCTCAATAAAAAATATTCACCCAAGGTGCCCATTAGGATCCTCATCCCCCGCATGATGATGATGACCATCTCCACCTCCTGCGTTTCCAGCACTGAGAAGGACATGCTCCACAGTCTCTTTACACACATACACCGAGGAAAACATCAGGTACACCGATTGTGCGAATTGGAGTACAGTTTCGATGCGGGCATTTCTGCGAAGTGGGAAAAAATTGAAGAAGGGAAAGGAAGGAGTCAGGTATGCAGAACGTTCAAAGAGGAATGACAACTCACCCGTACGGTCTCCTTAATGCACTCCGTCCATTACCGGAAGAAGTCCCGCTTTCCGCACTCCCTTCCCTTAACCAACTCCCCAACACCCTCCCGACGCCTACGCCCAACGAATCAAACACAACCCAATACCCCAACCCCGTGGTACCCAGGGACCCAATCTGCTGTCCAGACACCCAGAGGAAGGCCCCAAGGAAGAATTGGATGATGGTGAATGGAAGTGCCAGCGGGGATGTGGGGAGGGTGGAGTTAGATGATTGGATATAAGCATTAGTATTGGCGCTGAGATCGGAAGAAGAGGATGATGAAGCAGTAGGACCGGCAGGAAGTGTGGGTGTTGGAGGGAAATGTGAGTAATTGAGGGACTGGGAATGAGAATGATCATGGGCGCGACCCGCAGACCCGGGGGCCATCCCAGCACTTTTCGGAAAGGGTGAAATCGGATTCCAAGGACTCATAGGCGTCGGTGTTGGTTGGGTGTATAGTTCTTGTTCTTGTTCTACACCAACGCCAGCTCCGGCTCTCGGTAAGCCTCCTGCTCCTGGTTCCAAAAACGAAAAGAAATTATGCGATAATGAATGTTTATGATGATGACCTCTTCTCGAACTAGTCGAGCTTGCTGAGGACGGACCGTTTGACATTAACGGAGGCGTAGGTACAGTCGTGGGACCGCTCAGTGCTGGTGGTCGACCTGGGCGTCCACCGAAAGTGAAATTCGCTCCGAGGGGGGTGAGTTGCCCGTTAATACCATTCTGGAGTGAAGTCGTGGTTCTTCGTCCAGAAGACGGAAAGCTGACGCTTGAACCAGCGGAAGGCATTGGTAAAGCTTCCACATCCACATCAGAGTACGAAGAAGGAAACTCGAGTTCCTGTGCACCGTCTTCTGATATCGAGTTTGCCGGTAATGAACCAGGTCTAGGGAAAAATATCGACAAATTACGGGAATGTAATCGAGAATGACGACGATTGTGCTGTTTGCTATCATAATTATTCTGGCTTTCCTGTCCCTGTCCGGGTTTCGCCACTTCTTGACCAGTAGCATCACCCAACGATGAAGATGGTGATAAAGTGTTGCGATTTTCGGGGAGAGAACTCGATACAGAAAGCGCAGACATTCTCTTCGTTGTTGTTGGACTACGCGGAGGCGCAGGACGGGATTGGGCATCAGCCGGGAACGAAAACGATAGCGGGGAAGGTAGGGGAGGAGAATACGGCGTGGAAATTGACCGGGTTCGGGAATGACCGTTTATGCCGTTTACACCGAGATTTTGCGGAGACGAGATTGATGTTCGGAACGGCGAAGAAGGCGGCGGTCCATGTCCGTTTACTTTGAACGATGTTCGGTAAGAGCCTGCAGAGGGTGGCGGATTTACACTACCAAGCCCAGCTGAACTAGGTCCAGAGTTATATCCATTAGGAGATGACAGTGGACTCGGTACGGAGATTGACATCGACCTAGAATGGCCCAGCAACGGCGGCGGAGCCGGAGTAGAATGTACTCGTGAACGCTGAGCATGGCTATTTTCTCGCGGCGGCACAGGTATAGGAGAAGTTGGTACGCGTGCGTGAATAGGTGAGCGTAGACTATGTGATGAAGACGAAGATGATGCTGATGGCAAAGCAGGGATAGGAAGTGGTGAACGAGGAGACCGAGGTGGTGGAGGAGCAGGTCGAGTTGGTGTTGGGGATATTGACGCGGACAACGGAGAGCTAGGTTCGTTAACTGTCGTGTTTACAGCAGGAGTTATCTCATCATCGTCTTTACTCGACTTTCGTCGGTGAATCTTTCCCGACGTGGTCTCCATAATGCCCCCCGTCAACTGACTATAGCCTCAAGTTCGGTGTGGTTATTGGACAGTTTAACGAATGTTTGTGATGAAATTTCGTAAAGAGCAAATTCGCCAGACTAAGATCCTGAGCAAACGGCTGCCGGTTGTGGCTGAAGTCGTTGAATTAAGCTTGAAGTCGTTGAGCTATTATTGAATGTTATTGATGAATCGACAAGATAGCAAATTCAAAAAAATACCTCAAGCTCAAGCAATAGTGAACAAGCTCCACCAAAAAACAAAAGTAAAAGAAGGGCACAGAGGAGGTCAAAGAACTGGAAGAGAAGAAAAGGCTGCTCGTGGTATCAGTTCAACGTCCAGATCAACTCGCTGTCATTCTGTGTTCGCGTTCCAAATGTTCATCAGCGGAATAATTCGGGCCGGCTTATACCCTTTACCGTCTTCCAACACTGAGCTCACCACCATTGAATAGCATTGGATCCATAACTATTCTATCTATGATATGTATGTATCTGCTCTAGGGATCATCGCGCATTCAGATGTTATTTCTAGTTCGGCCTTGAACCAACGCTCATTGCGGATACAAAACAAGTCACTGCTGACCAGGAACGATTCGTCAAGGATTGTTTTGCTTTCAGTTAAAATATCTCAAGGAAGAAGGGTTTTTGGAAGGGTTTTTGGAGTGCAAAATGTTACTGAAGAACATATCAGCTCTGCTGCCTGCTCCATCCGAATCCGATATTACACTTTGCAAGCCATCTATAATATATGTGATACTCACAACAATGCAAATCTTGAATATACATATTCAGAAAATTTCCTCATCAAGTTCGACGCTACACAGATCAATATGTTATCCTATTCATTTCCGATTTCCAGTCTTCCAAAGATTTGAAATTTCTAGGAAACGAGTCTGACATGATTTTTCGACCTAGGTTGACCCGTTGCTTGTTCATTACGCCTTCCCCTCGCTAAGTAGTAGTCAATAACTTGATTTGCTCTCGGTTGCTGGAGTTTTGGTTCGAACTTGTTGCTTCTTGATCAAGTATACTTCGTCATTCCTTTGACCCGTCGTTCTTTACATCAGATCCTCAGGCTCCTTTTTCGCCGTGGACCGAAAGGAACAAAGCCGATATCACCACAATCTACGCCAATTTTTTTTTGTAAGACTTGGCAGGACCTATGATCAGCTCAATATCAACAGAAACCCCTACATATTCAAGCCCAACGGGAGACAGATTTCATCAGGTTTCATCCTGGTCGCTCGGAAGTTGGTAAGTAGCTGATGCGTATGATGAAAGCTCCTGATCTGTCCCGATGATATCCATCGACGGCATCAATTTATGGCTGATCCTACTCCATCCTGAACTGCTGGCCAGTTCAACAAAAATTCCCTCCCCTCCGAGTCGATCATCAATTGTCTTTCACTGCTAGCCACTACTGGCAAGGCTCACTATCTCATTACCAAACACACGCACAGTCTACTATCCGACTAGGCCACCCTCTTGACCTAGCTGGATTAATCCCCCCGAAATCCCGCCACAAACCTTCGAATATCATTCCATCCCGCCCATTCTCGCAAGACCCAGTGTTACTAAAGATAATTAATTAATAGGCCATGAAACTTCTCAACTACTACTGCTACCTCGTTCTAAGTCTCCTGGCATCCACTGTGCATGCCGCACCAGTCACCGTGAATGTACGTCTAAAACGAAAGACATGAAAAAGTAGAATGAATGACTGAAATTCAAGCAGGTTACCACTGACAGCGCACCCTCAGTCGTGGAAGCTCGTATGATGCCTGCACCCCCAAGACAATATATGAACTACCCCCAGCCTTTCCATGTTCACGCTACCACTATACGAGTTGCTTTCTTTGTAAGCTACGCCGGTGCCCCACTTAATCCCCCCGCCCTACGTATCCAACCCTACAAAGTCCAAAGAGGATTAGACAGACTTATGGAACGTATTCAAGAACTTTACGGAGTGGGAGCGTACGAATTACGCATTCTGGATGAATTCCGGGAACCTGATGCACATGATATCGCTATGGATCCAACTCACTATTCCTCCGCGTTTTTCTTGGTTGTGCTAGAGGGGTTTCATGGGTGCATGTCAAGAACTCCTTGTGCGTTTAAGGTGTGGTATGATGAGCCGAGGGATGCAGAGATGGTTCATTATGAGATTGTGTAGAGACATGGCGTAGGCCGGTAAAGGATCGCGTATGACCTATTCAGGTTGCGGGCGGGTGACGCGTGACGCGTCTGCATCGTTTCCTTCTGGCGAAATGTTGTATGTACAAGTACCCCCTATCGTTAAATCACACATTGTAGGTGGAGGTACGACAGCACCGACAACACTTCGATAGCGAGCACCCCATATTACACGAAATGCATTCTCATACGGTGTAACGAGTGTCTCTATAATTCAAGTTCCATCCTCCGAGCCATCCGATCGCGAGTCGCCGTTGTTCCATATCTTCAGCAACTCAGGAGAACACCGTCTCACACCGACAACACTTCAAATTTCCTCGCCTGGATCACTCTCTCTAATTTCAATCGAACGGGACAGGCCTAATCCCCTTTCCTATCAACCCTATATTTGCTCCTGGACCACCACCACCACCAAATCTATCCATCGGCAGCATATTGCTATGATGAGTATTCCCTTGCTGCTCCGCCCTTGCAGCCCCAAACGCCGAAGGTACGGGAATCCCACAACAGTCTCCCCAACCTCCGGCGATGTCTCTTGGGCTTACACCACTTGCTTCATTCGTGTGACTTGACCCGACGTTCCCCAACGGAGGGTGTGGATGGGTATGCCCTATATAGGCATCAACAGCGAAATCCTCATCCATCGGTGGGGGCGGACCCTCGTAAGGTATGATAGACCCAAAAAGAAAATGTTGCATGACCGGGAGCTTCCCAAGTACTTCGGCTTTATACATCTTGATCATCCCAGAATTAACCTTGTCCCATGTTTTCACAGCGGAGATGTCGTCGAGCATGGGTGAGTGCCAGCGCAGAGAGGCGGTTTTTATCTGTACGAGGGAGAGAGAGAGAGAGAGAGAGAAAGTTACAGAGAAGGAGAGGAGCGGTAAGAGAGAGGGATTTTATCTTGGGTTGAAACTCACGGAGTTGATGAATTGTATACAAGCGAAATAGATGTATTCTTTCGCGTATTCTTCTACGATCTCTGGGTCGTGGATAGACTTGGGACGAATATATTTGTGGCCTGAGCCGAAGATATAGGTAAATAATCAAATAAAAGAAAATCATACACACCTCGCAACTGCGCCGCTCCCCATAAGAAGGGCAAGAAGTGATAATCATCCAAGCCCCATACACCATGTGAACCAGCTGGTTCCAACCAGTACGTGGATTGAAGAAGCCGCATAACACGGATGTATCTCCAAAAAACACGGAGGACGAGGGGTTTAGAGTCAGCGGCGGAGAGGATTTGGAGTTTGTGCAGAGTCAATAACCAGCACAAGAAATTCATCTCCATTCCACTTCCGTAATCAATCCTGGAGCGGTTACCCCACGATTCGATAAAGTAAAGAGATATTTCTGGGATGGTTTGAGGTGGGAGAGATGGGATTTTAGCGTGTAGGGTGGGCGCGATCTCTGCAATTTTATCATAAAACGTTCTGAACGCTGGATTACCAAACCTCGACGAGGAGTTATCCACTGGAGGTGTATCTCTTGCGATAGATTCTACCTGATCCAGAATCGCTAGGATTGCTTTGACTGCTTCCGATTCTACCACCTCATCAGACAATTTTGCGCCTACGACTGATTCATTGAGCATTTCAATGTACTCTACGATGAGTTTGTGAGTGTCCGAGGTCTGGAACCAAGCGAGTTGTGCAGGGGTAAGAATACATTTGCGGGGAGGAGGAGATGAAGGAACCATCTTGAGTGAAATATCAATTATGTAATTATTTTTCCGTGTTTTAACCACCACTACCATCACCACCCACGATTATGGGGTCCACAACAACGTCGACAGTCACAGTCACGCCACTTTCTACGCTCAGAACCTCCCTGGAAAAACACAATGATACATTCGAGACGTTGTTGAAGCTTATACCAGCCAAGTATTATATCGTGCAAGAGTTTACTGAGGAACAGGTGCGCTACTACTATATAATCGCACCCAATCTCTTTCCTTTTCTTTCATACAGGCCGCCTCAAAGTTTCAACAAAACAAAAAAAAGCAAAAAGCACCAAAACAGGCGATCAAAGAGGCGTCGAAAAAGGCTAGGAAAGATAAAGTATGTTCATTCTTTTTATTCTCGAAAATCAACCATTCAACTATTCATGCAGCTCGACCCAGCGAATCAAAAAACGATCATCGATATACAGAATGAAACTTCTAATATGAAAGGAAAACGGAAGGCTGTAGAGATTGATCCTTCTGATGATGATGAGGACGACGGCGACGACGAAGTTGCAATGGACGTTGATGTCCGTCTTGAGGAAGGGATCGATATAGATTCACCGCCGACACCACCAGCCCTAGTACCAATGTCTACCCCGACTTCCATAACCGCCTTACGAGCCAAGCTTCACGCAAAGATGGCTTCCCTGCGACGAGGGGGCGGAGGCGCAAGCGGAGCAAACAAAGTAGAACTCGGAGCAGGACTAGAAACCGGCTCCAGAGACGACCTCCTTGAAGAACGCAGACAACAACGCGCAGCGATGCGGGAGCGGAGGAGGAAAGAGACCAAGGAGAAAATAAAGAGGGATAATACTAACAGTAATAACAAAGACGCTTCTGCTAAGTTAACAAAAGTACGCTGGATTTCTCTATCAAGAACGTTTACTTATTATACTACCCTACAGACCCAACTCCTCGTCAACGACCCCACAGCGGCTATAATTGCTTCTCAAAACCCCAATTCAAAATTAACCCATGTATCATTCTCTGGACTCTCATCAAAACCCCACCCTTCTTCTTCCTCCAACCCAACCCAAGCCCTCTCCCAACTCGTCTCACACAACCAGAAACTTGCCTCCCTCCCTTCTTCAAAACAGAAAGCCATAGAGGAGAAAGAGCGGTTCGAAAAAGCTTCTGCCAGACTTGAGGGTGTCAAGGTGCTTGATGACGAGGCCAGGCTCCGCAAAGCTATCAAGCGGAAGGAAAAGGAAAAAGGGAAGAGTAAGAAGGAGTGGGGAGATAGGAAGGAGAAGGTGGAGATGGCGATCAAGGCCAAGCAGAAAAAGAGAGGGGATAATATTGCAATGAGGAATGAGAGGAGGAGTGAGAAGAGGAAGGGAATCAAGGCCAAGAAAGGCGGAGCTCATATCTCCAAAGGCTCGAAAGGTGGCAAAGCAAGACCGGGGTTTGAGGGTAAGGCTTTTGGTAAGAGTGGAGGGAAAGGAAAAGGAAAATAGGTTCCTACTGCCACACCCTTCGTAGTCAACTAAGTCAACTATCTATCATTCCCATCATAAGCTCAAGCGTATGTGATAGCGTATGTGATCATGAGGATGCAGTAACCACATGTATATCGACGGGGAATAGCGGGGAATGCAGTACTGGTCATATGACCGAGCAAGTGTATTCCTGTGTATTCTTCGTGGACTAACAGCGGCTACATAGAGGACCCCGCAGGGGTAAGTCACTACATGCAAACATTTTCCAAGGATCCCGGATAATTGGGCATACAGAGGCATACAGTTGTTCTGGAATTCGGACACCTATTCTTGGTTTTGGTTCAGCCGAAATTCTGAGAACGATCTAATTATCTGGGGTTGACAAAGCAGCAATCACCCAGTGCCCAATATGCGTATTGAACAGAACAAGCTTAAGGATTGCGTTTTTTCTGCCCATCTTGCTTTTCTTTCCATTCTTCCAGAGCTGGTCTCTCATAAATATTTTTGACACTTGGAGCTGGTCTCTTTCAAATTCTTCTTCTTCTTCCCACCTCTTCTACCTTCTTCTACATTGTCCTCTTTATTGCCACAAAATGATTCTTCTGCGCCTTTTTTCCAACGGTCTAATTGTTTTTGCTCTTACCACGTCGAGCATGGCTATAACCATTCCATGGTTTCAACGCCGACCGCAACCTCAGCTCCAGCCCTCAAGCTGGAAACTAGTCGGCTTCATAGAGCCCTCCTCCCCTAGAGTAAGTTTCTTCTCTGATGTCGACCATTTGTGAGTTATTTTTTTGCTGATCTCTACTATGTAGGCACTTTTACAGGAGCTTTGCGACGCAGGGACACTCACCGCAGCGCTGACAGGGGTTGTGGAGGAGAACCGATATGGTGTTCTTACCAATGCTTGTGATCCTTATCCTCGCCCGTAAGTTCCGTGCTCGAAAACAAAATTATATTTTTCTCTCTCGGCAAAATCCTGAATGTTCATTATACATATGTACAGTGAGGACTTTATGGTCAGTTTTTCCTTTGAATTCGGTGAATCGATCATAAATTGATTGATATGTGCATGCTAGGTTGTGGTTCATGCTCCAGGTGACCCGCATCTCCCATTCGAAACAGTTCCCAAAGTTAGTCATTCTATTTATCTGTTGTCTGTGTGTAGGAGTAAGCTATATCATCTTGTATCATTTCAAAGCTGTTCATCCGACATCGAGGACCAATACACAACAAATACGAGCAGTCCGCGATTGACCAAGAAGTCGTGGATAATGGATTCAAACCTGCCGAGGATGCCATTCTATTCAACCGAACATCGAGTGCTGGACTGGATGTATCGATGTTGATTCCAGCCCATTATCTTGTAAAGTCTGCAAGCAAGCCAACTCATCGCTATGGGCGGAACAGCCTTCAGTTTAAGGTTGAGTGTAAAACATCTCGTAGGCCTCTCTCTCTCTCTCTCTATTCCCGTGCTTTGTTGCTAAATCAAACTGTAACTTATGTCGCTTATCAGGTGATTATAAAGGACCCCGAATGGTAAATTGGGCAGAACTTTTTCCGGCGACGTCGTTTCCAGAAGCTCTTAAGGAGGGATTCAAGGGTATACAAGATTGGTACGAGGATAGATATTGAACATCAGTGGTTGCCTGTTCGCCTCATAACCCATGAATTTAAAAGGACTTGTATCTGCCACGTTGGGAGATGGTCCAACTAAAAATGTCTGTGTCAAAGTACCCCAAAGTCTTCTACGTCTACCTTGAGTCTCCTGCTCCCATAAAACAGAGGACTCATATATCCGCCATGCTTCGCGATGGTCTAACTCAACACGTCTATGTCTACCCCAAGTCTCCGTATAAACTCCAATACAATGTACCTGCCATTTTTTGAGTGTGATTATCTCACCGTGGATATCTCTAGACTAATCTGCGGGGACACCACATCTTTAAATTTCCTCAGTGCATAACCCACTGTCAACGATGCATCACCAATCCAAAAACACTTCAAGACTGGTAAAACCAATTACATCTTATTTGTCCCATTAACACCCGAAAACATCTTCACAACCAGCCCCACATCACTAACATTCCCGATTCCCATGAACGCATCATACGCTTTCCCTGCCCTCTCTTCTCCCAGGACCAACGATGCCTGACCCATAAACTTGTCTTTCAATTGTGTTTCGTTAAGAGGATTGTCGATACTCCCGATAACATGCACGATATGTTGTGTGACATTCGTCCCGTCTTGGAATACCGCACTGACATACGCTTCATCCTCGTTAATCGTGGAGTCTGTGGTAACGTTCACCAGCTTGCGTAAAGCTACAACAGTAGCGTTGGTCACCACCGAATCTGTGAACTGAGACGGGGTAGCTTGTCCGAAAAGTAAACCTACGGCGATCCCATGATACACACTAAATTTCCCTTCCAACCCCGTCTCCGGATCCGTCTGGCCTGTGAGCACCAATGTCTCCGGGTTTACCCTCGCCTCCACACTCGTAATGTCTTGTATCCTCAACCCCTGTCCGAGGGCCGCGCTCTGAACCTCTATAGCACCTTGTATCGAAGGATGCATCACAATCCCACACGGGTACGGTTTGAACGTATTCGACAAAATCTCCCATACTTCCCCCAGTTGATCAAATTCCGCTGTAACATTCTCTCTCGTGCTCACAACATGTACCCAGCCAAACTGGGCTTCCAAGCCCTGTAAACTAGAGGTGAACCCACTTTGTGCTAAAAGGGCACCAATCATCCCTCCTTGAGCAGCACGTCCGATATGAAAACTCTTTGTATCGCTCCCAAAAAACTCTTGCATCCCAATAACCTGGGTGCATGCAATCCCTATCGCCTGCTGAGTTGTCGGTATATCCAGCCCAAGAATCTTCGACACAGCAACAGCCGCCCCAATCGACCCAGTCGTACTCGTATCATGCCACCCCACATCGTAATGTTCCGGCCACACCGCCAGCCCCAATTTCAGCTCCGCCTCCACACCAGCAACGAAAGCCGTGACGAATTCTTGCCCTGTAACCCCGCCTTGCCATTCCGCTACAGCAAACAACGCTGAGGCGACGGTTCCGGTGGGGTGAATAATCGTCGCAAGGTGCGTATCGTCGTAATCATCCACATGCCCTGCGATTCCGTTGACGAATGCTGCGATCTGGGCGTCGGTTTGTGTTGAATCGTTTGCGAGTGCTAGGATCGAAGAAGTAGGTGCGCCGCCGAAATGCGGGAACGTGGCGTTCAGGGCGAGGCTGGGCGCAGGTTGTTGGTAACCGCCGATGGCGCACCCAGCCCAATTGTATAGGCTGGTAACGGCAGCAGCGATTACTGGCGCGGTGAGGTTGGCATATTGGAGGTTGACAGACCAGGTGGCGAGTTGTTGGGTTGCCATTGAAGGATGAGTTTTTCGGTGTTGAAGTTTAGGAAGAAGGGGGAAGGAGATGAAACTCAGGCGAGGTTCGATTTATGTATGGTGGGTTTGAGCGTGGGGAGTCAGGGAAGGCTATGGGCTATGGGGATAAGTTCAGGATTCTCCCTGTTCTCTATGGCTCTGTCGACCTTGTGGGTCCTCGGAGTAATTCGGAAGCACAATGGTCCATTGAATCGAAACATTGAACGGATTTCCGATGTGGAAAAAAAAATTGAGAAGAGTTAGTTCATCAAGAAAAGAATTCAACGAAAAGGTATCATTAGACCAATCCTTCAGCGAAGAAGAAAGCAATGGGAACTTGAATAGCTGATAGATACCATGGGACCATACCAGACCATACTTACTTCCATGAATTGGTGGAAGTAAAAAAAGTTTTGAAGATAACTGTGGCTCCTGAGTTCTATTTCAGAATCTATAGATAGCATCCACTTGGAGGCAGGTTATCTGAGTTGAATGGATTATCCATGCAGCTGGACAGATACATTCAAGGCAACGTCCTATGTTATCCTGAGTCATCGTGCAAATCTAGAACAGTAGAAGAGTAGCTTTGGGGATAATGGCATATAGCTTTTGTGTAGACCAGACTGAGAGAAGCTAGATAAATGTGGTTGAACCTGGTTCTACTCAAGTTTGAAGGACGATATCCATGGGAAATACGGGACGAACAACGGTTTTGCCGGACCGGGTATGTATGCACTGAGTTCTCTTCTCCTGCACTCTTCAGGCCATTCCGACAACCTCCAATTCTGTCATATGTACATGAAATTGCAGTGTGCACGACGTACGTATATGCGAACAGACATCCCATGTGCCTATCCGAACGTGACATCGTCTGAAATTGTGACAAAAGTTTTGTACACCCAGCCTAGCCTTAGTATATTTATCCCCAGCAACAAGCAACCTTAGCTTACCGTAGCCCAGTTTCCTCGAAGTGGATCTCTGAGTATCTTTCGATGTGGTCTGGATATATGTATGTCTCAAGACGTACAACGATGAACCAGCTACACGCTTCCTGCTAACGCATATGACAAAGTTTACAACCAGAACTACGGCTTTTATCTTCTGCAATGATCAGCCGTAACCCAGCTCTTTCGATGGGATCCAATGCGAGGTAGTTGTAATAATGAGACCGCATCGCTATCTGAAAGATGCAATAGAAGTCTTGTCAAAACACACTGGGAGCGCGAGAGAAAAGTCTCGCCCCGCCGCTTCATCAATGTACGAGCCTATACCAACCCTACAGCTCGCCCACAGTTGAACGGAACAAGAGGTTGCAAGTGTATTCCAGCGTGTGCGGCGATGCTGAAAACAGTTAGTCACACGACACAAAACGAGACATAGTGAAATTTTACAACTCGAAATCTTATACAGCGTGCACTCAGCAGTTCTATATACATACTCAGCTGCAAACAAGAAAGTATTTAAATCTTCTTTTTGGCAGTCCAAAACGCTGTCCGATATGTATATCCCAGCATTCCCTGAGAGTTGGTGGTATACGTCGCATCAATAGTGCGTTCGTTCTGTATCACAATTAGCATAGTGCCCGAATAGTACCAAAAAGAGATATGTTGCTCTACACCGACCTCGATCTCAAATCCCACCATTGCCGCAAGCTGCTTCACTTCCACAAGGTCTAACTCGATCGATGGGTCATTTGTATGATTGTTCTCCCAATGCCATAGAAGGGGGCCTAACCAAATCAGAGTCCATCGAGTTCTTTTTCATTATAAGACTTACCAAGGTTGATCCATACACCACCGGGTGCGAGTATTTTGTGTATAATTCGGAGATAATTAACAATGTTCTTTGCCTGAAGATAACACATTACAAGTCGACATGTAGTCAAAAGCAAAAGGAATAGGCGAAGGCGGTAAAACGAGTGCTCAATACCGTCCAGCAAAAAGAAAGACTACAGTAGGATGCTGATAGAGAAAAAAACCATAAGATTTCACTTACTGTATCGATGAAGAAGCATGTCATCACAGCATCCCATAACCCCGCCTGCGGCTCGTTTGGATCTGACTCTCCGCCGTATATTTCTTCAAAGTCGCCTGTGTTGTCATAGGAGAACAAAAACGATAGGTCATAACCAATCCGTATCAGAGAAGCACACTTACCAGCAACCAGAGAAAAGACCGAACCGCTCGGTAGAGTGGGGTATACATCTGGAATTGTTATCGGGCGTAACATAGACGTTCGATCGGGAACGTTCGAAAAGGAGTGCACATAAGGGTATATGGTGTGCATGTTAGGACGCTCGGTTCTGGTAAAATAGAGAGGAAGATGATGTATATGTGAATTGACAGATGAATAATAGGATGTCGAAGAATGCCACATACTTGTTCAGGATTAGGAACGAGGCTAAAAGCATGTAATGAGAGAATTCGTTTCCTTGACATGCGAATCCTGTTCACCATATAATGATTTATAAGGAATGGGAACTTGAGACTATTGTCTACTGACCAAGGCTGGCGATATCATATGCTAACCTACCCAATCCTGCACCTGGAACTAGTACACGAAAGTTTCGCCTTGTGTTCGATGGTTGGATGGGGAACATAATTTATTGATTGGAGGCTTACCGTTCTTCCTTCGGGATATCCGAAAAATGTGCCAATAGAGCATCCTTCATAGGCCCATAGCTAGTTTCGCGTTCCTCTTGGCCTTCAGCGCTCCAGTCCCTCACGAACTGCTTCAGCGTGCTTCGTAGCTTGTCCATGTCGAACTCCGTTGGTTTGTATTCCTTCGGTAATTCATGCGAATGTGGTTGCGAATGTGAATGCGAGTGTGAGTGTGAATGCGGGGAGTGCGAGTGCGAATGTGAATGAGATCTGGCGGAGGCTATGGAATAAATGATTTTAGAAGATAGAATGCGTAAAAAGAGAGTAAAGAGCATCACTAGACGGGTCTGCTGCTTCGCCTTCTTCATCCCCTTCCTCCAAGGCATCCTCGTTGCCATCTTCTCCGAAGATTTCTGGATCAACCACGATCTTGTTCAAAAACTGTTCATTCGCTAATATCGCCTTATCCACTTGATCCAATTTCTCTTTATATCCTAGCTGCTCAAGTAGCTCTCGGTCATCTTTTGGCAACGTAAACAGATCTTTTCGGCGTCGATTGTTCGCCGCTAACTGGAAGGATCATTAATTTGACTGAAGGCACTTTCCATGAAAATACATACATGATAAGAAGTATATTTCCGAAAAGTAGCCACCACATTGGAGAAATGTCTCTCTTCTGAAAGAAAGGATCTACAGATTTAATCGATGAGCAAGATGAAGCCAGGACAACTTGCCTTCCTCGATGTCCGCGTCTGAGAGAGGCATTGCGATTACGGCCCGTAGTGCCCACCGGTCATTCAACGGTCACGAGCTGCGAGCTTAGGGCAGGTCCTCGAAAGTGGAGCGCCTCGCGGTCTTTGTATATTCAGCTTTCCCTTCGGCCGATGTTCATACTGTTTCAATCTACACACAAAGCTCGTTCCGTGTCATCTTATTTGCGAACCTTGAGGCGTCCTCAAGGCATTCAAATAGAGAAGGAGACATCCTAAAGCCTTTCAATTCTTAAAAAATGCACAATACAGTCTGCGGTGAGTGTTTTTCTTTGAGAAAGCGCCGTACAATCGTGTACTTTTACAGTAGTCGGACCTTTTGGCGCGTTCAAAACACTCTCATGATACATGTCTATAAATGACCTTGCTTGCTTAGGTCCTTCTCCAGTCCGCCCGATTAGCGCGCGTGAAGATTTTACCACGCTTTTTCAGATTATCATTTCGGCTCACGTCACATTATCTTATCTGCACACCTTCTCACCAATTATTACAACGATCTTTGTCGGTCGCACAATGCTTGCTTAGGTCCTACTGAAACTGAGATCTGACACTGCGTTATCAATGGAGTTGGATATTGCGTCCGAATCACCATTCAACATTACCACTATTGCTCATGCATTGCTGGGAACCTGCACTAATGAAGATCAAGCATCTTCAGAAGATACTTACGCGGACTGAGGGAGAACCTACATGTTACCTGTGGTTCAATGAAGGCGGTGGCGTTGTGGACACGCACATGAAGATTGGTACTCCCTGCCACTTTCGTGTATGTGGCAGACAATGACATTCAATCCACGCTGACTGTCTCTACCCAGGCTTGTGCTTACGGAGAAGGATGTGATGGTCAGTGGCCAACTTTACCTATAGAGTTTGCACTAACTGTTTGCAGGATGTCTCACTGATTTGATTCCTGTGAAAGAACGTACCAACCCCCGATGGGTTGATACATCGCAGAACCTCGCAGTTGCCAACTTCAACGCCGTTGATCATACCGGTGCGCCATTGCCTGAGGCTCTGCTACCACAGACTCTGAATGGGGTGACCATTGATGTCGCTTTCACTTTACGTGATTGGAAGTTTGGTCACAATACTTTGGTACTGATGTACCAACATCACTTTTAGATACTTTTCAACAGAGAGGATACTGCTGCACACTAGAGTCAATTTTGCGATATAATGCGGGCCATTTTCGTTTTAGCTATACAGTTACATTAATTTGTAAGCTATGCACTGAACCAAGCAAGGTGTAGGGCCCCGAAGGGGTACACTAGTTCCAACAGTTCATTTCGAAGAATCGTGCTTCAGGCTGCCAATCAGTTCAGCGCTTAAAGACATCGATATCCTCAAATATCGTTATGGAAATAGTGATTGTGGTACCAAGCATGCGTCTATTGGCAGGCACTTGCAATCATAACCCAGCGGTATCAACGGCTACCGAACCACGCTTTCCCCTCGTCGTTCGTATAATAAGCTACATTTGTGGCGCTCCGCCATAAATATTATAGGACCCCGAATACGCTTTCCCCTTACATTCCGGTTTCCCCAGTCAATGCGGTAGCAGCAGGTTTTTCTCAAATGATAACACTGCCTCCCCTCCTACCCCCAACACTCTCATCACGGTGATTCGATGGCGATCGCCAGACCCCGCGTCTTAGTTTTACCCGTCCACCTCCTCGGAACAAGGTCAACCTCTTCGGCCCCAATGGAAGTGGAAAGAGCTCGATCCTCAACATGCCCTCCCAATTGCGAGTTTCAAACTACCAGAACCGTATCTTTCTCTTCCGCTTCTACCATTGAGAAACATGAAATGCTGCTACGCAATGGAATCTATTGCTTTCACGATACCAGCGGTTACGGAAATTCGCACGAACATGACTACGTCGAGAAGCTTTCCGATTTTATCTATGGCCTGTAAGATGGTGTCAGCCTTCTGGTCCTCCATTTGCGTGCACTCAAAATTACCAAGACTGTGTAGAGGATGTACATTTTTTCTTCTATGAAGACTTGTGTCAACAGAAGATTCAGATCGTCCTTGTTGTGACCGCTTTAGAAGACGAAGATCTAGATATGGAGACATGCTGGTTGGGGAATAAGGCATCCTTTGCAAAGTATGGGATGTTCTTCTATGGCCATGTTTGCGGGACCACATACAAGGGTAAGAAGATGAGCAAAAGATATAGAAACCTATAAGAATACGAGACTTCAAAGAAAGCAATAGAAGTTTTCATAACGAGCCATTCGTTACATTCAGGAATTTTCGTGGTCGGTGACTCCCTTTTGATGATTGGTGTTGGCTCAAGAGTATGAATGCCCGATAATTGGTTCAATATACCTAATCCTAAATAAATCTTCAAATCCGTGTTTGAAAGACTGTTTCGGCCAGAACATACAATTATGCACGCCCTCAAGAAAAATCAGGAGTGTATCTACGAACAAGAAACAGTTGATAACTGTTTTGGAGCTGTCCTAACTCTGTGTCCTGGCGAGGATTTACCGGTACCTTCTAATTTCCAATTTTGTTTCTCAATTGCCAACCGTTTTGAGATTGTGAACACTGAGATCGCAGACCTCGATGGGTATGGTGATTCCGCTCAAGGAGTGGTACGATTTTGCTATTGGACTCTATTCGAGGGTTCACTCAAACGATCACGGCAGAGCCTGCTCATCCTGGGTTGTTCCAGTTCTTCGGCGCCTAACGTTCAGCTCTGAGGAACTAGAGCGGAGCTACAGCGACGAGGTGAAACAATGCGCAACTGATTCAATTAGTGTATGAACGATCCATATCTCGGACTCGCTACGGTTGACGTGTGTATACTCTGATACCTTCAAATTTCACAACTCATGATGTGCACTCCCAGACGCTTCCCAAGGATGCTTTAGCAGTAAATAAAGCAGATCAGACTGATGTTGTCGCTATTTCAAGCAATGAAGACCCTAACTCCAACGAGAAAATTACTGATACGGTTTTGCTTTCTGACTCCAATTAAGGTGAACTTACACCCTCTCTTCCAACGTTTGAGCTGAACCTTGAAATCTCTATATTTAAGTACAACCCACATTGGTTATCGGTGTAAGCAGGCTGAGTAGCCCTGAGCCTCAAATGACAGGCAGACACCCTCAAGACCCTCATCGAGTCATCGTCATCATCCTCGGCGTCAACATCACCGTTGTCGTGATTGAATCATTCTTACATGCAGAACAACTTCAAAAATGTACCACTCTCTGTATTTGTATTCGGACCTAATTCAAGAGTCGTCCTGTGCATCAGGACTGGCCTCTGCTTTGGCTCGAGCCATCGAGTATGCGATGAAGGGAAGATATTGTTTGTGACCGGTAACTGTCATTTTTGGATAACCTTCATTTAGTATAACTATATTCAGATATGGAAACACCCGACTCACTGTTACCTGCTTCCACTGAAGCTTGGAAAGCACGGGGAACACCATCCATTATCATTCTATCAATGTCATCTAATTCTTTTGCCTGACGTTTAACAATATCTCGTATTGAGAAATAGAATAGGCGCATAAGTTTGAGATCATCTGCAAAAACTATAATCTGTACTGTGTTTTCGCCTCTGAGGTCAGTGAGAAAATCATCGATGTGGTGTTGTGAAACATCGTGCTCTATGAAGAGGTCATGTACACGGGAACGGCTTAAGACGGACACCTCCCGAAGCTAAGAGAATGTAGGAATAGTCGAAGCTTAGTGCAATATCAGAAGGAAAGGATGCAGACCTACTCACTCTAAATAATTGAGCTGGTGAGGGTGCATCTGGGCGGTGATCCAGATGGAGTACAAAGCTGCATGGACGGGAATGATGAATGCACAGATCCGATACATTCAACTACTCAGCGTACCAGTGTGTGGCAAGTTTATCTTTTTCCGACGCATTTGGTGATAGAGCCCATAGAGACCTTTATGTAAATGTTAAATGTTGTAGTCAGTAAAACCTAAGAAGTCCATATCATACAATTTCATAGTGTGAGCTTACCAGCTGGTCAAGGACATTCTCCATGTATTCATCCATTTCGAAAGTTTTTCGTTAGCGATGTGTATGTCTCTGTCACTTTCCGTGACCTCGCGGAGGTCTTTTGTAGTCTTGCAAGATTTTTTATGGGCAGACCAAGCGGCGCGTTGACATCCTCTTGAGCAATATCTGACGAACCTGAACCGTGCCATGGTGGATAATGTCATGAACTGCCAATATTCAAAGGAAAACACACGTAACTCACCGGCACTGAGCACAGGTGCGCAGATTATCCCGTCCAAACACTTTCATACAGTAGTTGCACATATCTTTTCCATAAGGAGGATCAGACATCTTCGTATTCGGGGTGAGACTCAGCCCAATAGTAGTAAGAGGCTGAACCTGATAGGGAGTTCGCAACACGTGTGCGTGACGGCTGGTGAAAAGTGACAATGACTCTGAAGTTCTTCTATCTCATCCGACTGTTTGCATCTATATACACCGGATGATCCTTGAGAATTAACTAAAGGGCTTCGTAGGGATGACCATGGCTACGGTAAATTTGGATTGCATGGGAAAAGAGTGAGTGCTCATCGACGTGTGATACGTTCACTCCCCCAATAACACATTTCCTGTAGATGTTCCGCTGCTACAACAAATCATATTAAATCCTCATGCTTGTACTCCTTCCCTATCACAGACCCTGAATACTGCAGGCAGTTGGTTGAAAATTGGTTGAGTCGCCCGTGTTTTATAGTTCTGTGAAGAACCGTCCAACGCCGTAGGGAATTTGAACTCCTTCCAAGAACTCCCTCATACCGCACTAGATATGCTTGGCCCGTCAGCCCCGCTTCTACCTTCTCCATTCAACATCATCCTTTTCGGATCCACCGGATGCGGGAAAAGCTCTATCGTCAATATGTTACTTGGCCGAGAGGCTGCTCTCATGTCTAGTGGTGCATTAGGCTGTACCTTCGAAAACAAATCTTACAGTGTTACAATCGAGAGACAAGAATATCGTCTCTACGACACGACTGGTCTCGACGAGGGTACCGTTGGTACAGTTGTATCCAAAGATGCCCTCGTCAAGCTGTATCACCTCCTACGCGATTTACAGGGCGGTATCAGCCTTCTCGTCTACTGCATGTGAGGCCCCAGAATCACGGAGACGTTGGAGCGAAACTATAACATTTTTTATGACGGTTTCTGTTGGAAGGCCGTTCCCATCGTCATTGTAGTGACTGGACTTGAAGACCAAGAACCAACTATGGACTCCTGGTGGACTGAGAATAAATATGCATTCGACAAATATGACATGCATTTTGTTGACCATGCTTGCATCACCACCACGCTTGGAAAAAAGATGAAAAATGGAGAATTCAGGAACCAGGAAGAGTACAATGAATCGAAGGTGCTTTTGCGCGATTTGATCGTCGAGCATTGTCAAGATGCGAGACCTTGGAAAGTTGTAGGTCTTTTCAGTGATGCAAAAATATTATGTGTTGATTCCTCCACTCAAGGAAACCAAAACTTGGTTCGTAGCAGTCATAAAATGGCTCCATCGCAATCTACCTTCTTGGTTAGGGGATCATGTAGCCCCTTGCCTGGCGGACTTGTATGAGATGTTAAAGAGTTTCCTTCCTGAACAGGATGCTAGGGACATTGCAAATCGAGCGGACATGAAACCAGTATCCGATGCCCTACCCTCGAATCGTAAACGACCGAATAAGAAGAAAGTGGCACCCACCCCGGCGACTGCGAATAAAGCCTTCGCATTCGCATAGGATGTCATATTCCGTTTCTGGATGTTTCGACATGCCTCTCATTCCTCCTGTCTCTTTCGCCAATTAGTTGATTCGAACAGGCTCCGAACGATTTAAGTTTTGAATTGTTGGATGGTGATCGTCGTTTCTTTCCCTTTGATGCACGGCTGCAGCGCAACTTAGTAGACTGTAAACACTATTTTGATAATACTACGTTTGTTGGTGGAATGTCCTTGTTTCGGTATCGTTTTCATATCTTGTGTGTGGAGTCGCCTTCTCACGTCTCTCTGCCAGAATAAACGCCCGAATTCGTGGAAGGTGTACAAATATGTTTCACCCGTGCATGCATTTTTCCTTGTCATTGACTTCCTTATTCACCGCAGAATCACAGTAAGATTGTTCTTGAGTTATCCATCGATCTCATATGAAACGAAAGACCCCAGAGACAGTTACCGCAAACGAGTTCCGTGGGTCCGGAAGTGTTTATAACGTTCATAGGCTCTTGGTTTCAAAATCCAGCCGCAAACAACCCCCCTTCAGAAATCGTGTCATGGAGCAGCACCCTCTCCCTGATCATCCTACCATTCCTGCTGAACGAATGACCATGCTTTCTAGGGAGCCTGACAAGTCTCCTCTGTCTCCCTCGTCACCCGTAAATATGATCACACCATCTCCTCTTTATCCTCGACGTAACGTGCTCTTGTTCGGCTCTTCCGGATGTGGAAAGAGCTCCATCATCAACATGCTATCCAATCGTGATGTTGTGCATACTTCTAGCGCAGCCGCTCCATCTATATTCGGCGTTGAAAAATATGAAGTGTCCTTAGACGGGAAGCTCTATTCCTTCCGTGATATCACCGGCCTCAACAATGGAAAGTTGAGTAATGGTGACTTGGTCTCCCCTGGCTGTATCAGTAGGCTCTCCGATTTGGTCCACACTGACCTGCAAGATGGAATCAGCCTCCTGGTCTTCTGTCTCCGTGCACCACGAATTACCGAAATTGCGCAGAAGAACTATTTTATCTTCTACGAAGTACTGTGCCAACGGAAGATCCCCATTGTCATGATTGTGATGGGGCTTAAAGATGAGGAGCCCGATATTGTCATGAAGTATGTAGCCCCTATCATTTTCCTTTTCTCACCGTCTCAACGCCCTTACTTGTACGATTACATCACTGTCAAATCCCATCGATTACTGACCCACCTGATCCCCATCATCGATTACTGATCCACCTGTTACCCTTCTCCTTCTACTGGCTTCCGCCACCTTCCTTGTTCCTAAACTGTACAGTATTACATTGTCATTTCTCGCAGATCGGATTATGTATATAAAGCCAACCCCTCACAGCCTGGTCCCTCATCTTGACCTCTCTGTCATTATCTGGGACCAGGTATGTGCTTACTTATTGTTACCTATGACTACGATACTCAATATATCTCTGTCATTATCTGGGACCAGTTTGCCTCCGCTCTGCTTAGTCGCTCCGCCTCACCGCCTTGCTTAGTCGCTCTGCCTCATCGCCTTGCTTAGTCACTCCGCTTCCCTGCTCCGCTAGTCACTCCGCCTCTGCCGCTTCGTGACATTAGGTCAAGATCCATTACTGCACTGACAGCCTACCGATAAGGTTGTCCTTGCAGGGTCTATAGACACCACGTCTTCCCCAGTTCCGCCCGACTCTGAAACACCTGTTGCCAGTATAGACTGCTTCGCACTCCCGCACGCACTTGACCCCAGAGACCAAGCTCACGCCCATAACAACGACGATACTTGGCGCGATTGCCAGTCTCAACCTTGCCCCAACGCCCTTTCGAACTCAATCCGAGAGCCACTCACTGTGAGCAATATCACCTTCTTGCCAATTCCCCAACCCCGATTGCCTACTCCTATCATGTCGACTCCTATTCCGCCTGCCACACCAGCCCCACCCGCCTCTGCAGAAGATCTCATGACTCAGCTGATTAAACAAGTAGCCAATCTTGCTACAGCCATGGAGGAACGCTCATCCTCCAAGTCCAGCATGAACAAACCCGAGGTATTCAAGGGAAAAGATAGCGCTGAAGCGCGTCGCTTCATGGCTCAGTTCCAGAACTGGGCATCGGAACAACCTGATCTCACCAAGAGTCAGGCAAAGCTTATCAAGTCAGCCCTAGGGTTCTTCACTGAAAGTGCAGGTGACTGGGCAACCCCGCATTTGCTACATTTCAATGCGGAACATCCCCCCTTTGGAGGAAATTGGGAGGAGTTCCTGAAAGAGTTTGGTCAACGCTTTGAGTCAGTAGACCCGGGTATGGAAGCTCGCAGCGAGATCAAAAATCTCAAACAAAGTAAAGGTCAGACAGTCGCAGAATTTGCTCAGAAGTTCAAGGATATTGGGGATCGGACTGGAATGTCTGACATTGATTTACGAGAATGCTTCTTCACTGCCCTACTTCCGGAGATCCGACAAAATCTCATCATTGTAAACATCGCCCAAGGACTTGCTCCGACTTTGAAGGAGGCAATCAAACGAGCCATATCAGTGGACGTCTACATGCATGATCCCACCATGACTGGCCGGAACTCTGGACACACTCCCACACATGCTGCTCACACTACCCCTGCTGACCCCCACGCTATGGACATTGATGCAACCCACACTAGTAATGGGAATACTAGGGAGGCATTCCTAGCTCGCATGCGAGGACGATGCTTCGGCTGTGGAGCCCAAGGTCATGTCAAGCAAAACTGCCCACACCGAGAAACTACCTGCCGTTACTGTGGACGCCGAGGACATCTGGAAGCAGTCTGCCAAGACAAGTTCATGGGACTCGGACGAGACCGAGGCCGACGCCAGCAACCTCGACGCCAGCAGATATCCGCTACGGGACCCACACCATTCTCCCTATTCCCAAATGAATCCGTCCAGATTGCTTCCTCGACCCCAACATCTGCCCCTGCAACCGTACCTGCTACTCCGAGCCCCCCTAACCAGGACTTTTCTAACCAGATTGGTCAAATAAGGGAATTACTTGATCGTGCTAACGCTATGTCCTCCTCGTCCTCTGGCTTTCAACAGGGTTTTTAAAGGGGGTACCCGCCTCGGCTGCACCGAGAGTACCCCGTAATCAGTTTGTTATGTTCGCTACTTCTTCGTATGACTCGCACCCATCATGTACAATATCGTCGATCCGGGAATTAAACTCCATTTCCCCACATTTCCGAATTCATGCGAGACTAAGAGGAAGGAATCATAGTATAACAACTGCAGCCATGGTAGACTGTGGAGCTACTGCCCTGTTTTTGAACCAAGACTTTGCCACCCGGAACCATGTAAGATGTGCACCCCTTCATAAACCAATCGACGTCTTTAATATCGATGGAACACCTAACCGAGCGGGACGGATAACCCATTTTGCACGCCTAGCACTCACAGTGGATAATCAAGAGCGGTGGATGGACTTTCTGATCACCAACCTAGGGGGCGAAGACGTCATCCTTGGACTCCCCTGGCTACGGAAGGTAAATCCGGAGATCGATTGGGAGAAAGGACGACTTTCAGTAAAACCCCCTCGAGTAGCTATAGAAGAAGTCCCAGACGAGGAGATCTCATACTCTCATCGAGCCGCCGCTAACACAGAAAGCCCAATCCCTGAACTCCCGAACCCGGAACCTCCCACCGAACCCACTCAGATTGAGGTACCACTGGAAGCGACCCTTGAAGAGAGCAAATCAGCAGTGGTGGAAGAACCGCCAATACACCGAATCTGAGCCAATCATAAAACTCGCCGGGCATGGGTAAAAGCAGGAATCCTAGAGGAACAGACTGAGGAAGTCTGGTGCGCTGCAGGATTCACTTACTCCCAGCAGCTAGCAGAGGAAGCCAACCGAGACAAACCCGTTAAAACCTTTGAAGAAATGGTCCCTGAGCAGTACCGTGATTTCAAAAAGGTTTTCTCAGAATCTGCCTCCGAACGATTACCTGCCCACCAACCTTGGGACCATGCAATTGATCTCATACCTGGAGCACCAGCGACCATGCGCACCAAGATTTACCCCATGTCCCTAAATGAGCAGGAGGAGTTGGATCGCTTCTTGGAAGAGAATCTGCGGAAAGGCTACATTGTTCCCTCCAAATCACCCATCTCGTCCCCAGTCTTCTTTGTGAAGAAGAAGGATGGGAAACTCCGTTTTGTACAGGATTACCGGAAACTGAATGAGTACACAGTGAAGAACTGCTACCCCCTCCCATTGGTGGCTGACATAATTAGTCGGCTTCAAGGGGCTCGATATTTCACCAAGTTTGATGTACGCTGGGGCTATAACAATGTCAGAATCAAGAAAGGCCATGAATGGAAAGGGGCCTTTGCAACCACACGAGGGCTGTTCGAGCCTAAGGTTATGTTCTTTGGTCTCACCAACTCCCCTGCAACGTTTCAAGCACTTATGAATGCCATATTTGCAGACCTCATTGCAGCTGGAAAGGTAGCGGTTTACCTAGACGATATCCTCATCTTTAGCAGTGATCTTCAGGAGCATCGACGAGTGGTACGGGAAGTACTAATCCGGTTGGAGAAGCATGATCTATACCTACGACCGGAGAAGTGTGAATTCGAACAACAACAGATTGAATATCTAGGCCTCATTATATCAGAAGGGGAGGTGAGGATGGACCCGGTAAAGGTAGCTGCAGTTCGCGACTGGCCAGCCCCCACTAACCTTCGAGAGCTACGAGGGTTCCTTGGATTTGCTAACTTCTACCGATGACACGCCTAAATTTTGGCTAGACGTCTATGCTGTGAATTGTGACATTTTCACGTATAGATTTGTATCAAGAGGACTGTAATTGAGACCCAGATTGACAGTCAAAGTCAATACTGAATCAGTCTAACAAGTTGAAGGGACCATATACCCATACTACCACAAGTTGGTCAGTTTACCCATCCCCGATACTACCTACGGATAGCAGTCTACCTGTTTGTCAAGCAGGATTATACCAGACTCGGACTACATCCGAAGGATGACCATTCACGTATGACATACCAAGGGTATTCTTATTGGACCTTACACTGGCAGGAGTTTGGAAGAACTTACTCAAGTGACCATGAACCGAGGATTGACTCGAAATGACTTTCTAGAACTCAGGAATTACCAAATACTCCTTCTAGAACAAGATCATGCATTAATCTAAAGGACTGCGATTTAGTCTAATAGACCAATCAAGTTGCATGGTTGAGGAAAATGACTAGAAGAACGATCGAAAGACTGCGAGGCTCCGAAGACATATCAAATGAATGTCAAAGAGTCCTGACGTAGAAAACATTGAAGAATGCAATTAAATGAATACTATGCGTAACTCCCTTGATAGAGTATAGGCACAATGGGTGTCTGTTGAAAGAGAGAAGCAATTAGTTTAATCCAGATGAATCAGATTGATAGGATTAGAATCGAGGAGAGCTGATTTGCCTCCGGACGAAATGACAAACGATCGAAGTAAGTGTTGAACCGCAATGACAGTTGAACACCATTCGAGTCATTCTCTAAAAACAATTAAATTAAATGAATATTGAAGTACCTACCTATGTTTGGAGGTATACTAGAATCTTGGAACCAATATGGACCAAATAAGGACATGTAGATTCAAATTAAATGGTATCTGACTGAGTGTAGAAGTTTCCTTGCGGTTCCGAACGTTTATTGTATTAAATTAATTGTACTATGCGACTCTATATTCTGTATGTATAAATAGCGATCCGATGTATCTGGAATACAAGTGATTTTGGGACGACGTTGCAGTGCTAATCCGTAAAAAGGAAAGACACACTCCCGCCAGACTGAAACCTCTTCGCTAGCAGCCATTCGGGCCCGGCACTTGTGAGTATAGGAACGTTGTGTTCTGCTCCTTGTGACTGCGAGAAGTATATCCAGTTGTTGGGTATTCTTCGAACTTAGGATCAGTCGTTGGTCTTAAGGGCAAATCACGCTGTGTGGTTGTGCCAGCACATAGTTCTAGCCCTCCGTAGGGGTCTGTGTGTTTCGGTTTTAATTTACTTTGATTCAAACCCCCAATTCTTGATATACCCAGATCAATACAA